CGAACGCGCCCCTCGCCACTGCAAGAAACCACAGCCAAATCAAATCAAGCAAGCACGGATCTTCGCCGCATTGCCGCCGGCGCCGGAACACAGAGGGGGGAGCCGCACGTACCCGCAGAGTCCGGGAGGGGCGAGACGGGGAAGCGGCCGTAGAGCACGAGGGGCGCGAGCACGGACGCGGCGAGCAGCAGCAGCACCGCGCCCCGGCACCGCCGGCCCCGCGCGGCCCCCGCCATGTCCGTGCGCCCCGCACCCGCAGCCGGCGGCCGGAGAGCCTCAGACGGCGCACTGCACCGCCGCCGCGGGAGGAGGGGGTTTGCTTTCCGGCGCGGCGGGTGCTTGGTTTCGCGAAGGGTTCGGAGGGCGTCGGCACGCGCGGCGGACGCGAAATTCCGGGGCGGCAGTGAGTCAGTCCGGGCTCAGGGGTAACGTGGGAGCGGTGCGCGGCCCATGCGGTGCGATGCGTGCTGCGCCGATTTGGACTCGAGTGGTTTCTTTCCTTTCCACCGGCACCTTTGCCTGCCTTTCACGCGCTGGATCGCGCGAATTTTCTATTCCCGTCGCCTGCCTGTGGGGCAGATGGATTTCATGGAGATGTTTCTCTCCAGATTTGCAACGGTACGGAGATATAACCTGATAATACAATAATGTGTGGTACAGAGATATAAGATCGTATTTACTGCTCCTACATCTGCTAAGCATTTGGTCAGATTTGGCTCGATGTTTGTGGATAGAAAAAAAGAGTTGGGTTTGGGAGCGGTGGTGTGTGGGCGCATGGGACACCAGAGGCGTCACGGACCACACGGGTAGAGATGGATAGACCGAGTTAATGAGACCACACAGGTACTACAGATAGACTGGTTTTTTTTAGGGTGGAGATGGGCCGAATTAAATGGGTGAATGTTCTCAACAGAAAAAAAGGGGGTGAAAGTGACACCAGTGAGTTAAGCATATCTTTCGAGTGACATTTTGAGACGGAGGAGAAGAAAGGTATATCTATCCTTGAGTGCGCGCTTTTCATTCAGAAGATTCAGACGGCGCCATTCGTTGGTGCTTTTCTCTCTCGATCGGTTTATCCATCTGCTCGTGCGCGCGTCGATTCGGAGCACTCCACGAATCGCCAGAACCTTCAGCAGACTCGTTGTGCTTGTGCCTGCCGCCCGTATCAGCAGGCCCCGCGCGCGCGACCTGTGCGTCCGGCGTGCGTGCGTGCGTGCTGCGTACATGTCGCCGGTGGCCGGTACTACGTGCGAGCAGTTGCAACCGCCAAGATATGCTTACGTGGTACAGTAGTACGTTGTGACTTGTGAGGCGCTCGTGGCAGCTTGCTGACGGCGTGAGGAGAAACGAAGGACGCAGGCCAGCAGAAAGCAAAAAGGTTGCTTACATTGCGTGGCATCGTAGTAGTACTGTACGTACGTGCCGTGTGTATCGGCTTTATAAAAAAGCAGCAAATGATGATCGGGCTGTGTGTGTGGGAAAAGGGGCACGGACGACCGAGAACCATCCTAGTCGCCACGAACCCGTGCAGCGCGCTACACCGGCGACATGAGTTGAGAGTTGTACCTGTTTGGGCCGTTGCGCACGAGTTTGTCAACGCGTACATCCACCGCCGTCCTCCCACAACCACCTCTCCGGAAAATGTGTTGCGGGACTGTGGTCACGCCCCGCATGCCCACGCTCACAAATCACAATTACTCATTTCAACCTAATTAATCCGGTTTTGTTAGCTACTCCTAGGGCTGGGCGTTCGGTTTTTATGGTTAATACGGTTCGGTTTATTCAGTTTTCTTGAATTTCGGTTTCGAGGAAATTGCCACCGAAATAAGTACACAAGATTCAGACACCGAACCATATTAACCGAAATATATCGGTTTGGTTTGTTCATTAACCAAAAAAACGAATTACATGCAGCCACCAGTCAAAGTGTCACGACTAATGAGAAGGGGTGGCTTTTGTAGAAAATGCACAAAACAATTAGTTCCATGAACGCACATACATACACTTGGTGGAAGGATTCACTAGCTTTTCACTAGCCGTGCATGCAAAAAAATAGTAAAATATTCCAATGGAATAAACTAAGGACTAATCATTAGCATAGTGATACGTAGTAGCATGGCCTTACACACTATTTATATTAGAGATTAGAGTTTTTGTGTAGAATGCATCGAGACACCAGAACTTGAAGAAGCCAGTAGCAAAGTACTCCCTCCGTTCCGAATTACTTGTCGTACGTATGGATGTATTTAGATGTATTTTAGTTCTAGATACATCCATTTCAGCGACGAGTAATTTGAAACGGAAGGAGTACCTTTGAGCAGCCGGCCGGCTAGATGTGGCAGCACCAGTAAATTACAGAGTTAGATTTTTAAGAAAAATAATTGTGGAGCAACTATTGGGTTGGGCCGATCGCAAATTGGCCTGCCGGCTGTTGCGCTTGCACTACAGGAACGTACTAACCTTCCCTAAAAAAAGGAACATACTAACCAGGATATGTACAGATCGGTTTCTTCGGTGAATTCAGTTTGTTAGCGATCAAAACCGAACACGACACCGAACACCGTATAGTGGTCGGCCTTCACACTGAACCAAAAAACCGAACACCGAATAAACCGATAAATCAGTTATAAAGGTTCGGTTCGGTTTTTCGGTTTTCGGTTTCAAAGTGCCCACCCCTAGCTACTCCCTCCCGTCCCAAAATGTGAGGTCATAGTGTAAAAAATGATCTTACATTGTGAAACGATGGAAGTATAATTCACTTGAATTTGTCTATATATCTATTTCTAGGGAAGAATTTGACTATATCTAGACAATATCATGAGGCACCAGGGTTCTACTCCCTCGCAGAGACGGGCAGAGGGGCACGGGCCCAACGCCATCGGGCGTGGATGCTCGGGAACAACGGCTCCCCCTAATGATCTCCTCTTAGGACAAAAGAAAAAACAAGAAGGAATTCAGACGGTCTCGCGATCCTTGTTGTGTTTTTCTTTGATATCATTATCCGTTTGATGCGTGCACATCAAAGATTGGATTAGACAAACAATGTCCTTAACTAAAATATAAGAATGTCTCAAGTGCCCCTCCGCAGGTGGTTTTGTGTTTTTTTTGTTGCTTTGGTATCATTGTTTGTTTGATGTCAAAGACTGAGATTAGACAACTGGTACTATATTAACTTAAACATAGGAAAATCTCATGTGATTTATCCATGTAATTTCATAACACAATGTTGCCATATGTTTTTGATTGCTTCAAGTGCCCTTTTGGTTCAGATTTTCACCAAAGCCCTTCGGTCGTCTACTCACCTTGTTTGCCGTGTTTTTTTTTACTGTTTTTAGTCTCTCATCTCTACACCTTTGCAAGCTCTTCTCACTTATGGTTTGGCCTTCGTTTAGTCCGTCATCTCTAAATACAAAGGCAGTATAAAAGCACTCAGTTGAAAAATGTTACATTCTACAAGTTCAACATGAAGATGAATTTATTATTGAGTTAGTTCTAACTAAAACCTTAAGGTGTTCTTTTATCAAACTGAAAGCGTAAGTCCTAGAGTGTAACTTCATGGATTTGTATATTTCAAGTCTCAACAATGGGTACTACTACTAAACAACAACATGGATAATAAAAAATGTTTGTAATGTAGATGCCGATGGAGCATGATGTCAAGACCGCGTGGCTTAAGTGATGAGATTTTTATTATGAGCATCATCATGTAAGACCACGTGTCTTACTTGACCAGAATTTTTAATTAAGAATCACTAAGTACAACGTAGGTGTGTACATACACACCCCCACCACACACATATACTCACATAATACCTATCGAGGATTAGAATTGCAGAGCTTTGATATTGATGAAGCTTAGCGCATTGGACTCGAAATTCAAATTGTGCTAGCTGACAAAGAAAAAACAGAGAAATGTTGGTTCTGGCTGGTTGGTAAAAGGACTCTAAATCCTTTGAGTGATTCGATTCTACAATAGAACAAAGAATGAAATGAATGAATGAAAACCATGATCATGCCTCCAGTAGGAAGATCAAGGAACTGCACATTAATAGGACACACAAAAGCATCGATCTCAGGGTTTGTTCTGATGGGCAGAGGGTACAAACTCCAACCTAACGTGATCGATGAGATTTTGATTCCTACCACAACCATCATTTGTAATGAATTATTCCATCCCCTATTTCGTCAGTTATCGTTTTGTCCAAGGACATAGTCAGACTTGTAAAATGTTGAAGAGTAATGTATTTCCAATTAGATTGTTTTTCTAAATTCATGTTTGTACTTTTGATGTTTGACCAAAAAATGGGGGAGAATAACACGAATGTATTTGTGTATGTTGATAAATTTTATGCTCTAAGACATAAAGCCTTTTAAAACTACATCTATAAATGTGTTATTACAAAAAAAAATAGAGGTCATGAGTACTATTGTGGTACTGGTCACTTGTCTATTGTTTTGTTTTGCCTTTTGCATTAGACACAAATAATCGAAAATCTGCAGAGTGTCAAGAAACATATCAATGAAAAAATATGCTTCAATGACCTGTCAATATGTGAGATGTATTCAACTTTTTCCTAATGTAACCATATGATACGAATGCCATCTTTAAACCTTGAGTAATGCAAGAATTTATTTGCAAAAAAAGAGAGATAAGACTGTCATCTAAAACATGATATTTAAATACGGGAAATGAGTAGGTTTCAGATGGATATGTATGCGGTTTCGAAATTTTCACCTAGAGGCTTGAGAGAGAATGTGTAACTATTTGGAAACAAGACTTGTGATTATTAAAGTGATGCTTAAAAATGAAGGGAGAGTGAATAATTATTGGCAGCAATCATCATATATATACAGGAGGAAATTGATCGTGATCATCAACAGGCCCGTGTGCCAACCCAGGGCAGCTTCACGGGGCCGATGGGCCAGGCGGCGCCGCGCACTGAATGCCACGCGGGGCCACCGGCGACGGGGCCCTCCACGGCCCACGCCATGCAGCATCGTCACACCGCCGACGCGGAGGGCCCGGCGCCGCTGATCGCCGACCGCCAAACGGGGTCGACCTCGCCGTCGGCGGCGGCGGCGAGCCAGGCGTCGACGTCGTCGAAGAGCGCGCGCTGCTTGCTGGGCGGCGGCGGCGAGACGAGGCGGTCGCCCGGCACGCCGATGGCCGCGGCGCCGCCGTCGACGAGGGAGTGGAAGAAGACGTCCCGCAGCTCCCAGCCGCCGCCGCCGGCCACGCCGAGCCCGCCGCGGCACTTCTGCCACGGGAACTGGAACACGCCCGGCGGCCTCCGCCACGCCTCCCCGGCGTCGGCCGCGGCCGCCGCCTCGTCGAAGGGGAAGTCCGCCGCCTGGTCCGGCTCCTCCCGCGCGCGCTTCCTCGCCCTGCCGCCCTCCGGCCGCCGATCCATGCAGGCTGAGGGCACTGCATCGGGAGATGGAACATGCATGTCGACATTGATCAATCCAGGCCCTCGACCTCACCTTCAAATCGTAATGGCGACGGCGACGGCGACGGCATGCACGGAACGCACCTGAGACGAGACGAGACGAGAGGCCTGATCGAGACGAGGAAGGAGAGCGCCCGTACGTCGACGTCGCAATGTCGAGCTCCTGGGAAGGGGGTGGTGGGAGTATATAACGGGGAGATCGGTGGAGAGGGTGGGGGAGCATGCATTATGTTCATGCAGAATGTACCGATGGAGACGTGCACGCCAGGCCCAGGCGGCCCGAGCAGCTAGGGCTGGCATTGCCAGCCGGTGCATGCGCCGCTGAAGGAAAAAAAAAATGCCAACAAATGCATTTCTTTTTGAAACTCTAATGAATGCTCTTTTTTTTGAAACTCCAACGAATGCATGCTAGTAACTCGCAAACGTTGTTGCCTGGATCCATCGGCGAGATGGGCGGGGCGTTCCGTTTCTTGTCGATGGAACAAGGTGTGGTCGTTGGTATGTTGATCGTGATCGTAGTAGCACGGGCGTTGATGCCTTTTTTTTATGCAATAGCTAAACGTCAGTCGCCTGAAAATTTAATTTGGGTAAGTCGATTTTCGCTAGAAGGAAGCAGGCGCCGGAGGGAAGAAGGAAGAAGACGCCAGAGTGAATGAAGGAGCTTGCTGGCAGGCTACCCCGTAATCAGCACGGCAGTGTTGCAAGTTCGCCGGAGAAAAAAGGGTCACCGCTAAATGTCGGGGGTTGGGTGCGACATATGCCAAAGGATGGCTTATCATGGTGGGAGCGAGTAGAACGTCGCCGGTGCCAGGAAACGGGATGAGGCGAAGGCATGCACGCCGGCGAATCTTACCCAGCTTCGGGGCTCTTCGAGGAGATAACACCCCTAATGCTGCTCTGCGGGGTCTCCGCATAATCACTAAGGCGTAGTGACTACAAAGTTGCTCCTAGAGTTGTATTCGGGAGGTGGGAGGGGGCAAGGCTAGCCCTCTCCTTCCTATGTGATCTGGTCTAAGGCTAAAGGATGCGAACCCTTTGCATGGGTGCCCCGGGGGGTTTATATAGGCTTACCCCCCGGGGGTACAATGGTAATCCGGCTGGGCGCGGGTCCTAGCCGTCTGTCTCACAGGCCGCCGTCTTCTCCGGCGACTGCTGGGGCCCGCCGGCTCGTGGGCCCCGTCGGCGAGTTCAGCACTGTAGCCGTGATTTTGATGACGCAGGCTCGGTCCCGGGGTCGTGGCAACAGTGCCGCCGTCTATCGGGCGATCACTGTCGTTACTTCCCGTCGTGTCTGGTTAATGGCGCGTGGGGCCCGTGAGAGGGGCTGGCCGACTCCGGGGAGCCGACTCCCACAGGGCCGTCTTCGGGGCGTATCCACCGTCTTTCATGCTCTCACTAATAGGCGGGTCCGCCGTCTCTGAGACGTACAGGTAGGTCATCGTGGCCACAGTGCACCGCACACTGTGGCTGAGGTCAGGACAGGCATGGCAACAGTGCCGGGCCACGCCGGAGATCTCCAGCGGTACGGCACACTGTAGCCATGCCGGCCCCTTGTAAGCGGGAGGTGACAGCCACGCCGTGGTCGTACCCGCCTCGCCTATCGCGATGAGAGTAGAGTCGTGGGCCGACTCTCCATAGCCGGCCCCTCCAGAAGTCGCTGGCCATGAGTCGGCTTATCTGGGAGTCGCCTTCTGAGACTCGGCTTGTCTGGGAGTCGTCATCTGAGACTCGGCTTGTCTGGGAGTCGCCATCTGAGACTCGGCTTGAGGGGCGCGTCCTGCCCTGATGTCTTGAAAGGTTCTGGGGCTCGGGTTAGCCTACCCGTGGCCCATTACTCCGACAGTAGTCCCCGAAGCTGGTGAGGCTCCAAGAGTGACACGCTATATGGGGCCTCAACAGTTTCATTCCTACGGTGGCGGAATCTGGGCCGCACTTGCCGTCTTCCTCTGAGCCAACTATTGAAAGTCGGATTCGTTGAGTGTCGTCTTGCCCTTCGAAGAGCTTGAAAGTCGTGGCGGGAGACCAGGCGGCGTGCCCGACACGCTTCCCTGCAGCTGCCTGCTGCGGTCCTATCACGCGGCGCCACGCGGCGGGGGCAGTCTGCTGGCCCACGCGCGCGACGGGACGGGTCGTCAGGCGGGGCCCGCCACTACCGCGCCTCGGCACGCGCACGGATCCGCTGCGGCCATGCGAACGGTTGGGTTGCCCACGTCGTTACTGCGCGCAGTAACTTCGTGGGTTAAATCCTGGGGCGGCGTGGGGCTCTGAGCGCAGTTAATCCCCGCTCGCCCCCTCGGCTTCTCAGCCTCGGAGGCTATAAGTAGGTGGGGTGGAGCGGCAAAGCACGCGCGCCCATCTCTCCCGACCCCCGTTTCCTCTTGCCTCGTCTCTCTTTCTTCTTGCCGCCGGCGAGCAGAGCCACACCGCACCAGCCAGCAATGAGCTCTTCCTCCGCCACCGCGGCTCCGGCCATGCGTTCCGGCGCGTGGGACGGCTCGGTGGTCGACGACGACCTCATCGACTTCCTCCGCAAGACGCGCTGCCTTCCCGGCGCACACCTCGTGCGAGCCCGCACCGCGCCGGCGAGGGAGATATCGCCGGCGCCGGAGGAGGGCGAGCGGGTCATCTTCCGCTCGCACCTCATGCGCGGTCTGGGGCTGCCGGCGAGCGGCTTCTTCCGCTCGTTCTTGGAGTTTCACGGCCTCCAGCCGCACCACCTCACCCCGAATACGGTGGTGCTGCTGTCCGCCTTCGCCACCCTGCGCAAAGGTTTCCTCGGTGTTCTCCCCACCATCGAGCTGTGGGGAGAATTCTTCTCATCTAAGCTCGGCACGCACGTCGTCGGCGTGCCGGCTCAGTGCGGTGCCTACATCGCGATGCGGCGCTCGACGGCCGACAACCCCTTCCCTTCCATCTCGCTGATCAAGTCGGTGAAGATGTGGCAGCGCTCATACTTCTACGTGAAGAACCTCGCCTCCGACGGCGACTGGATTAATCTGCCGCCTTATGAAGCCGGCCCCCCAGCTGGGAGGCTCCCCAGCTGGTCTCATCGAGTCAAGACATTGACTCCCGCCGGGTCCGCCGCCGTAGCGCGACTCCGAGTCTTGACGCAGTCGGAGGGCCTCGTCGGGGCCGACTTGCTGGCCGCCTTCGTGGCGCGCCGAGTCCTCCCGCTCCAAGGCCGGCCTCACCTAATCTGTCAGATGAGCGGCCTCCGAGACCCGAGTCGGATGAGCACCAAGGAGATGCCCCGCGCAGAGGTGGCAAACATGGTGAACCATATCGCGAACTGCGAGTTCGGGGAGGACTGGCAGTTCGGCAAGGAGCCGTACTCGCGCGCCAACCCCCCACCAGTGGTAAGTTGCATCTCCTTATTGCTTTGTCTTCTTTGCGGCCGAATCCGGTTTCTGATTTTTGTTGGTTCCTTCTGAGCTAGAACCCCCTCATGCAGCCTGTAGCCGGCGTCGCGAGACAGCCCCGCGAGTTCGTCCCCGACCGTGCGGAGAGCGACGTCGACGACCCCGACTTGGGGGCGGCGGCAATGGAAGCCGACGCCGAAGGCAGAGGAGGAAGAGCGGGAAGCGGCCTCAGGTTCTCGACCACCTTCGCCGACTGGCCTGAGGACGACGCTGAAGGGGAAGTCGCCCCGCGCCATCAGCTAAGAATCAGTCCCTCAGGCGCAGTCTCCTCCGCCAGCCTGGCCGGCCAAGGCAGTGCGAAGAGGCGTCACGCCGGGCCGAGTGCGCCCGGTGGCAAGTTGAAGAAGTTCAAGGGAGCGGCCGCCGCGACCAAGCGGGAGGAGGCGGCTGCGAAGGCCAACCGCTTCCGTAGGGAAGTGAGAAGGCCGCCACTAGTCTCTGCATAAGTTTTTCTCTTTGTCTTTATTTTTCTCCGATGGATCTTATCCGAGTCTTCTTTTATACTCCTCCCCTTTTTCTTCAGGGCCCCCCTTTCCCTTGAGAGAGTCACCATCCCCTCTATCATGGGGTCGGCAGAGACGTCCGCCAATACTCGGCGGGTCGACCCCGCCGCCGACCTCCGAGAGGCGACGGAGCGGAACGCGCGGGAGAAGCGCGACGAGGAGGAGGCCGACCGCCTGGAGAAGGCGGAAACCGAGAAGGCGGCTGCCTCCGCCCAGAAGAAACTGGAGGATGCTGAAGCCGCTCTTGCGGCGAGACGGCGAGCTGAGGAGGCCGTACGTCGCCAATCGGCGTTGCTCGTCCCCCACTATCCTCCGCATCGCCGCCTCCGGAATTCACGGGGCAAACCAGGGAAGCCGGCGTCGAGAACCCCGTCGTGGAGAAGGAGAGCGGCGAGGCCTCCATGTCGGACACGCTAGTGCCGCTGCCTCCGCCTCCACCGCCGTCTGGGAGGGCCCACGGCAAACAGCTAGCAGGCCCGCCGGTGCCGCCGACTGAGGACGAGGCGAGGCTGCTTCTTCGGGTTGCCTTGCCAGTGCGCCGCCACCTCGAGAAGGCGACTTCGGCGCCGCGGCCCCTGGAGGTCAGAGCCGCCAGCTCAGCCACCCCGGACGCCGAGGCGACGAGTGTCGCGCCAGCTGGGTGGGTGCGCGGAGGCGGCACGGGCCCGCTGAACCAGGCACTTCTGGATGTCCAAGCGAAGCTTCGAGCCGAAGGCGACGCCCTCCAGATCTGCACCAAGGCGCATCTAGCGTCGCGAGTGGCCGTCCGGGTATGTTTTCCTCTTTGATTCTTGTTTTTCTTGCTCTTCTCTGTGGGGGCGCGCCAGCACACCCACTGGGTATAGTCCCCGAGTTTCGGGCCGGCTGCTGAGCAGGCGGCTCGGAACTCCCTCTAGCGAGTCCCAAGTATTTATTTTGTCTGAAATCTTTTTTTGCAGGAGTATCACAACCTCCGCGCCACTGCCTTCAACCGTAATGTTGAGGAGTTGAGCAAGCGGACTGCCGACTTGACGGAAAGCCGGAGTAAGTTCTTTTCCTCTTCTTCGCGGGGGCGCGCTGGCGCACCCGCGGGCTGTAG